ATCAGATAAATAGAACACTATGATTTTTCCAGTGATCAGCTAAACAATCCATTGCAATATTTATTCTCAAACGTACAGCCGTAATTAGTCCGTAAGACGGAATATTATTTTGTATAATTACCCTGTATATTTAAAAAGAAGATATCGTCGCTTATTGTTACATCGTCGATTGTAATTGTTAAGCTACGCTCGTTAAAAAGTTAATTGAAAGAGAAATGTACGCTCACGCGATGAGCGTTATGTAATGAACACTTGACTGATCATCGAAACGTACGCGTGAATCGAATCCGGTCCTTCGAATGCGCATTCGAGTTGACGGTATTCGTTCGCGGTATTACGCGATTTATACAAATCGCGAATATTTATATAATTATCCCACCGCGTAATTCGACTTTAATTAAAGCAATCGTCGAAACGTGGTGTTGACTCGAGGTGGCGTTTCGCGAATTCATCGGGACTGCAACGTTTGCACGCCGTTCGTTCGTTGCCCCGCTTTCGCGTTGATTCTTTCGCCGCGCCATTTGTTGAAATGCAAACAACCTCCCGGAGCATTTCGAAGACCGTTGCGTGGACGAAAGAAATAGCAAACACAGCGGATTTTCCATTAGACGCGATGGAGCACCCGGAGCCTTCATATTGCACCAGTTTTTTTTTCTAATCAAGCCTGCCGCGCTACTGGCTGATTGTTTTATTATTATATATGCGCGGAGACGCCGGTCGCGAACAAAAATTATGGTCCAAGTTTGATCATACGCAAAACGATCTTTAATAACTAACATTGTGGTCACATAACGACGAATAATAATTTTCCACCAAGTAGGTAGTTGATATCAGTATCGTATAATACGCTGATATAATAAATGAGCGTTCGCTAATCGTCATACCTCACAATCAGTTAAATGCGTCCCCCAATAGAAGAATTAATGTACTGTAATTATCATGATTCACATAATGCAATCTCATGTACATACGTTGATCATAGCGTTTAATTAAACTATACATACTATTTTAATATTTCTCGGTTTGGCTATTCGTGCTTCAGTGCTAATTAAATTTGAGTGTCGTTTAACGTAAATTTTCATCGAGGGAAACTTATTGAAAAGAATTTCCAAGCAGAAATTGACATTACTCTTCAAGTTTAGAAAATGGACTAGAAATATACGTGTTTAAAATTTCGCCAATTATTGAGATTTATTAATCGCGGAAATTGTTGGAATTTCGGGCGTCGAACGCCGAGCGCCGGTTCCGAGAAAATGACGTAGCGCCGTAAACACTTCGAACGAAAACAGCCTATTCTCATTGTGTCAAATCATTCACGCGGCGACAGTCGAACGGGTCGATTGGCGGCCCGTACCGCTCCGCATATCGTATTATTCTTTCTTGATACGCGTTCGCGATAACTACGGGAAGAAACCGCGATCGTTCTCTGTGAATAATCAGCGATATCGATATCATCGCGTGATCGCTGAATCCTCGCGATTTGCCATCGATGCTCGGTTAACCAGCAAGACGGATATCTCGCGCGATTCACACACGAAATCTGTACCTTCAAAAATCAAAGCGCTAGCTAACTTGAAATTATTTCTTCATTGCTCTTTCTAACCTTCGACCCCTTGGCTGTGAACACCTAATTCACAAAATCCGTTTCCTTCAGTTATACACTGCAGTTCAGAGTTTATTCATACTTATGATCATTTCAACTGCCAAAAACTTAAATTGTTCAGTAAAGAATCAGAAAGCTGCCCTGTAGTTGCAAAGATTTAGTTTCCTTTTCATTCTCATAGCCAAGATTGATCCTTGCAAAAGCTTTAACGCGAAATTTCATACAATTTCATACAATACGTGATAATTAAAAAAAATGTTCAGTTTAATTTCCTACAACTCCTTTTAAAATTTTACCAGTTCAATATTCCAATCAAAGATTTTAATAAATGTTCAATAAAAACAATATATATAGCGTACGTAATATAAGAATCTTTTTTAATAGACATTCAAGCATTAAGAAAAATATTGAATCGATTAAAGCAATTATGAAATTAAACAAATAACAACAATTATCAAATTATTAAATTATGTACGCGTATATATATTTTTTTTAATTAATAAACAACTAATTTCATTCACCAGCTGTGATATAGCAGTTTGCGCCACCCGTTGCAAATTCCGCCCCGGGAGTGATCCGCATCAGCTCCGTCGAGGAAACAATTAATCCCAGAAACGAGCACTTAATTACGCGCGCCGCTGAACGAACTCCGAAACTCGATCCGCGCATTTCACTTTCGAAGGAACGCACATCTCGAAGAAAATCGCAAATTCGCGCCACGATACACGGCCACGTGCATTTAACGGCACGCGAGATGCGAGACAGAATTACCTCGTTTTATTTCGCGACGCAGATTACAATCCACTGTTATCACCGACACACAATGAAGTCGTTCTTTTTCGTTAGACGAGCGTCTAAGATCCTTCGTAAAGGTCTCGAAATCAAGTTACGTTACTTGATTTATTACGTTTCTCAAAATCTGCCGTTAATTACGTGTATCAATGTGACCGTCCAATGGTTTTATTGACGCATAAGATATTAGTTTTCATCAACATAATTGAAACGAACCATTCCTATAATCGTAGCGACTGTAGTGG